CTCGTGGTACTGGTTGAAGCCACATGAGCAGGAAGGTCAGATCTCCACCTAGAAAAAGCATCGGTTCCAGTCAAGATGAATTGCTGTCGTTCCTATAAGGAAATTATTTAGCATATTCAATTTAGTATCATGTGCCTCATCACTCCCTTGAGGGACAGTGCCATAGTGATGCCTCAGCTGGTTACAAGTTCTACTGTTTGGGCTTCTGCACAGCCCCCAAACCCTACTGCTACACGGTCATCAATTACGTCCACACTGAGGTGGCTGATGGAAGCCATTGGCTGATTTTTAACTGACTGAATCATTTTGAGCCATTGGTTGTTCATGGATACTTTGTGTAAGAGTTAGTATATGAAATAAATACCTTGACACGTTGTGTTTAAATCTAAAGGCCTCTCTTCCTATCTTTTTCCCAATCTTCCGGTCTCTCCTTCTGGACCCTTGACCTACCAACCAAGCCACTGACTATGAATCAATCATTCTTGTCTCTAGTCATTTCTCTTCCCATGCAAAGTGAATGATAAGGCACACAGTCCAAAGTTCTAGAAGATTTTTTAAAAAAACAACTCAGGAGTTTTAAACTTTACTAGACAAATAAAATTTGTATGTATCCATGGTGTAGTAGGTGCTTTGAAATCTGCATACACAAACAAGGGAATGGTGAAATCAAGCTAATTAACAAGTATTACCTCACTGGGTTTTCAAAGGAATTTACTTATTGATTTTTGAATATACAAAACACATACTAACCTTACTCACATATATAGTAGGTCTCTTCAACATTGGGTGTGTGTGTGTCTTGGCTTGAATTTAGGGCCCGGGTGCTGTCTTGAGCTTTTGTGCTCAAGGCTAGCACTACCACTTGTGCCACCAGCTCCACTTCTGGTTTACTGGTAGTTAATTGGGCTAAAAGTCTCTTAGACTTTCTTGTCTGAACTGGCTTCCAACCACAATCCTCAGATCTCTTGTCTCCCAAGTAGCTAGGATTACAGGCATGAGCCACCGATGCACTTCAGTTTTAAATATGTTCTGATGTTTTAATTTCATCTTGTTTCTCTGAATTATTTGGAAGGACATTTTTATTTCTAAAAATTATGGGTTTATTCTGAATAAGCATATTATTGTTTTGTACTAATGCTTTGTATTTTGTACACCAAAGAAAAACTATTTATCTTTAGATCATAAACGTCACATCAATTTTTATAGCTACTTCAAATGTGTGTGGAATGAATATCTTTTTTTTTTTTTGGTAATATTGAGGTTTTTGAACTCAAGGTTTTGCTTACTAGGCAAACACTACTATTTGAGTTACATCCTCAGTTGTAGCAAAAAGTTACATCCTTTTTGCTTTTGTTATTTTTAATAGAATTTTATGTTTTTGCCCAACCATTCTAGACCAAGATCCCTATTTCAGGCCTTCCGCATTGCTGGGATGACATGAGCATGCCATTGCACTCAATGGTTAAGATGAGGTCTTGCAGAGTTGCAGGTGTGATTCAGATGGTAGAGTGTCAGCCAATGAATGAAAGCATTTGTCAGATACCAAGTACAAGTCCCCATCTCAGACAAAAAAGAAATAACAAACCCTTGGCTAGGTGCCAGTAGTTCATGCTTATAATCCTAGCTACTCAGGAGGCTGAGCCCTGAGGATCACAGCTCAAAGCCAGCCTGGGCTTCATGAGACTCTTATCTCTAATATAAACTACCAAAGTGGGGGGGGGGGGGGTGAGGGTGGTAGTGGTGGTGTGAAAGGCAGCAAGTGGAGTTGTGTCTCACTAGAGTGATAGGGCATTTACTGAAGATTGAAAGAGATAGAGATTGAGAGACAAAAATCTAACTTCAAGTCTATCTCTTCCTTACAGTAGCCAGGATAACAGGTGTGTCAGCATGCCTTGATTTTTTTATTTTCCCCTGACAGTCCTGGGCTTGAACTCAGGGCATTATCCCTGAGCCTCTCTGTGCTCAAGGCTAGCACTCTATCACTTGAGCCACAGTGCCACTTTCAGCTTTTTTCTGGGTAGTTTATTGGCGATAAGAAGCTCATGGACTGTTCAGGCTGGCTTTGAACTGTGATCCTTAAAACTCAGCCTCCTGAGTAGCTAGGATTACAGATGCGAACTACCAGTGCCCAGCTTTTTATTTTTTTAATAGAACCTTGTTATATAGCCCATGCTGGCTCCCAAATGTTAAAAATATAGATGTGTGCTATCATGCCCAGAAAGCATAGGCATTCAACTGTTGATTGAAGAGTTTTGTACCATCTAGAGAGCCTTAATAATTTTATGTCCATTTAATTTTTTTAGAATGATGTGCTAAAAAAAAAAACTCTTGCTATATTTGTAAATTTGATTACTTTCCTATGTGTTTGTGATTTCTTTAAATTGAACATATATTATTATTTACCTACAATTTTAGAACTGGCACATCTTCCTACATATATTTACTATAATCTTACTAGTAGTATTATGTAGTACTAGCACTATGCATAAATAGGTCTGTGAGGAGCAAGAAAAAGATATGACCACGAGGTGGCAGTAGTGCATACAAGCTTGTGGGAAAGGCTAGTGTCCTAGGAATGTCTTCACAACAGGAGGCCAGATCTACTAGAGTGGAGCTGAGAGCAAGACTTTCTGAACATCTAGCAAATTAAAGCCATAATATGATACCATCTCTTCTCAGCCAGAAGGCTAGAATCAAAAAGACAGAGAGGGTAAATGCTAGCGAGGATGCAGAGAAAGGGGTATTCTTGGGGCTGGGAAGGTGGCTCACTGGTAGAGCGCTTGCCTTGCATGCCAGAGGCCCTGGGTTCGATTCCTCAGCACCACATAAGCAAAAAGAAAAAAGCCGGAAGTGGCGCTGTGGCTCAAGTGGTAGAGCACTAGCCTTGAGCTGAAGAGCTGAGGGATAGCGCCCAGGCCCAGAGTTCAGGCCCCACGACCGGACCCCAAAAAAAAAAAAAAAAAAGAAAGGGGTATTCTTTTTTTATTTATTGTGAAAATACTGTACAGAGGGGTTACAATTACATGGGCAAGATAATGAGTACATTTCTTATCAAGCATTGTAGCCTCCTCCTTGAAAGGGGTATTCTTATAGACTACTGGTGAGGAATATAAGCAAGTACAATCATTATGGAAAAAAAGAGCACTTTCAGATGAAGCAAGGTTAAAAACAAAAAAACAAAACAAAAAACAGTGGCTGGGTGTGGTAGTGCAAGTATATAATAATCACAGCTGATCTGGAGGTGGAGGCAGGAAGATTTCAAGTTTCAAGCCAACCCAGATCAAGTTAGCAAGTCCTATTTCACCAAGGACTTGTGCTCAGCTCAGCAGTAGAACACATGTGCCTAACAGGCTCAAGGCCTTGGGTTCAAACCTCAATACTGATGGAACAGTGGAGAAAGCTCTAGGTGCTTCTATACCCAACCCGCATGGGAAAAAAGGCTGATGCTGTCACAGAAACGCTGCTCACATGGTTTCTATTTCCCTAACGTGCAGATCAGTGAGTCCAATTGATGTGGTTTAAATCACTCCTGCTTTATTCAGTTTTCCAACAAATTATGTAGTTAAGTCATTAAACTTGAAAAGTGGTTCAACTGAATAGGAAAAGTCCCTATGATAAATCTTCCCCTTACGAAGGATGAGTCAAGTATACTGGGCCTACTTTTTCCATGGACATACCTCGTAAAGCACTAAACTTTCAACTCCACACATTGGTATAACTACATGAAACATATATGCTGCCGTGGTTTTTTCTTTTATGCTGGCATAGGGCCTGAACTCTGGGCCTTGAGCTCTCTCAGGTTTTTCTCTCATGGCTGGCATTTTACTACTTGAGTTGTATCTCCAGTCCTGTACTTTTTTCTGGTTAACAGATTCACTCTGACTTGTGTGCCCAAGATTGCTTCTAACTGCAATCCTCAGATCTCAACCTCCTGAGAAGCTAGGATTACAGGTCTGAGTCACCAGTGCCCAGTCATGTCCTGCCTTCTCAAATATCTCGTGCTACTTATTTTGATTCAGATTCATCACTGAACGAGCACCACTGGTATTTAATCTCAGAGATCAGTGATGTGGGCCATACACTAAAGCAGCTATGCTTTTAATGTTTAGTTCAGTTTTGGTGATCTCTCCGACTACAGGCTATAGTGTATTGTTTACCCACCTCTAGCAGAATCCTGTTCAGGAACAGAAATCAGATAGCCAGTCTTTTTAGAAGTGGGTGTGAAGAAATAAGGGACTCTGAGGACTTGATCAGCCATTCAGAAATTCAGTATGAGCATTACTAACATGGCCCCTGGGCTTCAGAGGTGATGCTGCCCCCATGAATTCTAAACAAGTGCAATTAGTTAGACAGTCTGGGAGGTTTCAAGCAAAATATCCACTTTAATTTCTTAAGAACCCTGTTAAGCCAGCAGAGTTTACAAATTCTTGTACAGGAAGAGTCTGACAGCACATTTCCAAAAGAAGACCGAGTTCAGCGGGGAAGAATTCTATATATCAGCAGCTGGCTGAGCTGGCTCCCCAGAACTTATTAACAAATTAAGTTACGACATACAAACAAACATCCTTCAGTGAATCATCATATGGAGCACCAAACTCAAAAGCTGCATTGTAATGTGCTTTTCATAACACAACTTGCTTAATTATCCACACAAGTGAATCATTAATATCGCAAGCTTGCTAACACTTTGGATACCTGATATTTATGTAGTGGTGGTTGCTCATCTGCTGAGTAAGGCATGAGTAGTTCCCTAGTTAAGCAGGAGAGGCAGTTCTCCAAATGATCATTGTTTCCCAAAGGTTGTTTCTCAAATATTCTAGAAACCTCAGACATGTATTTCTTTTTTTATCCCCTTCCATCCTGGGGTTGGGCGCTGTTCCTGACTGAGCCTCTCTTTGCTCAAGGCTAGCGCTCTACCACTTAAGCCACAGTGCCACTTCGGGCTTTTTCTGAGTAGTTTATTGGAGATAAGAGTCTCACAGACTTTCCTGTCCCAGCTGGCTTAGAACTGTGATCCTCAAATCCCAGCCTCCTGAGTAGCAAGGATTATAGGTGTGAGCCACTGGCACCTGGCTCAGACATGTATTTCTTAAGATGAATTTGGTTACTTGATGTTTATATTCTACGGCACATATGATAGATGATAAAATTCTGTAAATTTCAAGCTATGGTAACCGATGATGCTCACACAAAGGAGTTCATAAAATAACAGCTTGCTTCATTAGGTAGAAAAATATTTGGGATAGTTCTTTAATGTATCTTAACAATGTGGGGGAAAACTATTCAGAGAGCATAATAAAAAAATATTTTACTTTCTAAAATTGCTTTTTATGAAAATTGTCCACTTTTAAGTGCTCATATTTGACTAAATCTAAAGTTGACAATTTCACATGAGACTACACATTTTAGTCAATTTACCTACTGTGAAACCTGTATTTGCAAACCATTAGAACATATGTCAGAGCATGTTGCAGTGGGCTCCGATGTTTTATAAAAAGAATATCCACTTTGGGCAATGACTTCCAGAAAGACTTATGCCCAAAGGAAAAATGAGTGGCTAACCTCATAGCCACACTCCTGGAGGGTGTTCAATAAAAGCTCACAAAACATACCCAGAGTCACAGAACTGAAAGCAATGTTACATTTCTCCTCTACTTGCAGACGGGAAGAACAGCAACAATTTTAGACACACACCTTGTAAAAACTGTCAGAAAACAGGCTACATTTTTGCCGATAGCTTTGAAGTTCTTGTCATTAGTCATGAGAAAGCTAACATCACACATTGAAATCTGTTAACATTACATGTAATACATTCCAAATCCAAGTACCATGTTTGGGGTAGTTTCCCGATGCCCCATTATTATTGAGCATTTCTGCATATTTTATTTTTGGAAGCTTTATAATTGTTTGCCTTCTGGATCTTCTTCATGCACAGAGAAAACACAGTGAACAGAGGGGGTTGTACCCTTAGTAGACACACTTCAGGATAACTATTAATGAGAATTTTAGTGTAAAGTACAACAGGCAAGACTCAATTGTAAACTAAAAATTACAAATGTTGTAAAAATTCTCCAATAAACTTATTTTACATTTTATTAAAAAGAGAAAAAACATTTTTAGCACTAAACTATTTCTTTTAATCTGAGTTCAGATGTTTTATTTCTAATTGGCCTTCAGATTGCAGCAGCCCATAAGTTTAGCTTTGAAAGTTCTTAGTACCCAGACTGTCATTGAGCCAAAGACCTCAAGACACACAAACACACACAAAGACACAAGGACACACATACACCTACACCTTTTCTAGTAAACAAATCTGTTACAGTGCTGGAACAATGTGACTGTTAGAACTTTTTATATCCAGTTTACTTTTTCTGAAATTGAGACATTTATATTATTGAAACAAGAATCTCTAGTACACAAATTTTCTCTGTAACCTCAGTAGTTCTTGATTCCCTTTTTTTTTTGTCGGTTATGGGGCTTGAACTCTGGGCCTGAGCACTGACCCTCAGCTCTTCAGCTCAAGGTGAGCGCTCTAACACTTGAGCTACAGCGCCACTTCACATCCTCAGTAATTCTTGATGGCAAATTTTTCTTCATTCACCTGAAGGAGAATGAAGTGTGGAAGTACAAACCACTGCAAATGGTCAAAACAAAACCAGTATGAAAAGTATTTGTGAAGTATATGTTCTATTGAATATTCAAAGGTATCATTTTGGACCCATTGCCAAAATTTAGATTCCCAATCAACTAAAAAGAAAATATTGATTTTATTGGTGAAAGATACACTGACTCTCTGAAATCAGAAAGCTCCACAATTTCTCTAAAAATGCCTGACTATAAAAGTATCAAATATAAGCAGCAATATAGCAAGAAAATAAATTGGCAGAAATAATTATTCAACTAGGAGTAATAATTAAGACCACCATTTCAAAAGATTTTCTATACACAAAGAATGAGAAATATTTTAAGATGTTACAGCACATACTGGACCAATCCTAAGTCATTACTGTTATACTTCTTTCTTCTTCAGTATGAGTGGACCAACATTATCTCCTGTTAATTCATTATGCTTATTATGGGAACCATCACAGGCAGGAAACTAAAAGGAAAAAAGAATTACAAGTTGTTATTTTAAAAATGTAACTCACTAAGTAGAAGTATTTGTGAAGTGCTTTCCAAAAAAGTATGTCACTTGTTAAAACAAAAAAGAATCCACAGATAGCATTCGTGAGCCATAGACTTTCTATCTAATAGCAACATGATACCACAGAAAATCTAACAATTTAAATAATTTGATCTACATTTCAAATCGTAAAAAAAAAATCATCTTTGGATGATTCCGTGAGTGACTACTTAGGATTAAAACAGAATCAAAATGAACTCCTGGTGTTAATGATTCCACACAATTTTACCATCCATCTTACCGTCTTAGAACGCCAACACCTACAATAAGCTGCTTTCGCAAGACACAGATCTTCAATGTTTATTTCATTCACCACTTTGGGATTCTCCTTCTGTATTTTAAGATTAATCAAACTATCCTTCTGCTGTTTTTTCTTCTGGAGGAAGGGACGAACTGCAAGGTAGCCAAGGAGTGCGAGTACACCCAGGAAAGGCAGCAAGCGAAGCCATTCTGAAACTAAATGAGGACGTACCGGTTAGAGTCTGCAGTGTTCTTGTTAAAAACACACACACACAGAAAATAGTAGGTATAGCTTCATCTCTGGGTTATTCTTTACCTGTTATGCTCACATTCATTTTAGTTATCCATAAAAGTACAAGTAGATTCCACAGTAAAATCAGCTCTAATAGGACCAGGTAATTTTACCTTATGGGCTATCTTGAAATTTGTGAAACTGAAAAAATCTAACTTTTCAGAAACAAGTCCTACTTCAAATATGCTATCTCATTGTACCTGGTAAGTATATTTGTGTCTATTTTTTTTTTAATCAGGAATTACCACCACCATAATTATAAACAGAAAATTATTGAAATAGTTAAATATTCAGCTACCGAACTGACCATTTATGAAGCCAAACTATTATGGAAAATGATTTAGAAGAGCGTCGTGAGGAAGAGCAGCGAGATGGTAAGAGAACACAACCTACTAGACATAAAATGGAATAGTCCTGAAGAAAATAATTCCAGCTGCAACCAAAGCAGCAGTCATTAAAGAAAGGAGAAATAATTAGGTTAAGATGAGGAATAGTCAATGTTCTTTTTTTTTTTTATTTTTGTCACTCGTGGGGCTGGAACTCTGGGCTTGAGCGCTGTCCTTGCGCTCTTCAGCTCAAGGCAAGCGCTCTAACACTTGAGCCACAGCGCCACTTCCGGTTTTCTAGTCGTTTATTGGAGGTAAGAGTCTCACGAATTTTCCTGCGTGGGTTGGCTTTGAACTGCGATCCTCAGATCTCAGCCTCCTAAGTAGCTAGGATTACAGGCGTGAGTCACCAGCGCCCGGCTATAGTCAATGTTCATATACAGTGACAGGTATCTATGACATCCTATTCTTGATATATGTTTACACAGCATGATATATAAACATATTCATACTTTTTTTTTTCTACCACAGAACCTTGGGCTTCTTGAGCTTGCTCACTTAGTTGATGCTCCACTGCTTGAGACACACCTTCAGCCCTGCTTTTTGCTAGTTTTTTTGGAGATGGGAGTCTTAGGGACTTTTCTGCTGTGACTCTCGTGATCTTAGCTTCTTGGATAGCTAGCTAGGATTACAAGCATGAGTTACTGGTACCAAGCTATTTAAAAAAAATTATTTTAAAGTAAACAGAGACACAAATGTATCTTAATGAGGAATAATAAGAAAGAAAAGGGTTTTTTTTGTTTTGTTTTTTCAAATTTATAACAGGCAGCCGGGTGTTGGTGGCTCATATGTGCAATCCTAGGTATCTGGGGGCTGAGGTGTGAGGATCATAGCTCAAAGCCAGCCCAGGCAAGAAAGTTCATGGGGCTCTCAGTTTCAATTAACTAATAAAATGCGGAAATGGTATTGTGGCTAAAAGTGGCAGAGCACTAGCTTTGAGCACAAAAGTTCAAGGACAGTAGCCCCCAGGGACTAAGTTCAAGCCCCAGGACCTACATACATAATAAATAAATAAAGATCATCTATAATTCCATAAAAAGTGACAAATTGGTTGTTGTTAATTTTATATTTCTTATGTATCATAAAGCAGAAATGAGTTTCCATTTCTTAAGTAGAAAAGATAGAAATAAAGTATTTATTGTTGTTGTAGTTTTTAGGTAGTATCTCTTTTAAATATTATGATATCATACTATGATGGCTTCACTAATGACTTAAAGTTGAATATCAATTATATCAGAATTAAAAGACCAATAAAAATACTTTTTTCACTCTAATAGAACAGTATCCTAGCATCTAGAACTTTACCTGGCCTGTCATAAGTGCTCAACAAATACTTGATGACTTAAGAAAATTTTAATTGCAAAATAGTTACATGGAAGGAAAGGTTTAAATGAGACTCAAACTGTTCTCCACAGGGCTAATATAATCTATACACTAAATTTTAAATATAATTGAACCAGCTAGAAGAGAAAATATTTATAACTTAATAGTAACTATGTAAATATTATCCTCAAATCTCCTAGAAAAGAATTTCAAAAGTTCTTGTCTTTTGTAAACTTACATGTTAATAAATGCAACTTTTGCAAGTGCCAGTGGCTCACACCTCTGATCCAAGCTACTCAGGTGACTGAGATCTGAGAACCACAGTTCAAAGCCAGCCAGGTCAAAAAAGTCTGTGAGACTCCTATCCCCAATAAAATATGTATAAAAAGCTGGAAGCAGCACCGTGGCTCAAGTGGTAGCACACTTGCATTGAGCACAGAGAAGCTCAAGGACAGCAACCTGGCCCTGAGTTCAAACCCCATGACAGGCAAAAAATAAATATATGCAACTTTTTCTTTGAAATGTTTTGTTTCCTAATAAGAAAACTCACCTTTTAGTCTTTCTTTTACAAAAATTGAGAAATAACTTAAAGTAAACAGATCTTTAGTAGTTACCTTGAATTTTGGGAAATATACTCTGTAGTCTCCTGTAAAAATGTATAGAAATATTCATATCGAAGTATATAAAAATCCTTCCATTACTCCAGTAAGTTCTTTCCCATCCTACTATTTCCCACTACCACTTTCAATATCCAATTTCTTTTAAGCAACATAAAAGTTGTTGAGTTTCATCTAGTGGGCCAATAATTTGTTCCTTTTTTTTTTTTTTTTTTTTGCTAAGCAGTTTTTCTACTTAATTTATTAATAAACCATGGTTTATTTACCTATTTTCCTGTTGGTGGATACTTGGATTGCTTCCAGTACAGGAACAATTACAATTAGGTTGTCATGAACACACTTGTACAGTATGTTTGTGGGTTTATGTTTTTAACTGTTTCATTTCTAAATTCCCAGTCCAGAACCGGCCCCTCTGGATAAACAAATGAACTTACAGTTGTAGGTTCTGACATGTTTGTGTTACCCTAGGAAACTTACTACCTAAGTCTCATACTGATTTGTCTTTAAGAGTAAAGAAAACCCTGTAAGTTTCAAAAACCAAACTAATCTGAGTGGGTAAAATTTCATAGCTAATTTATAAATCTCAAACTAAACTTTTCCAACTTCTGAAAGATTTTTTTTTTGGTTCAGTGCTAATTTAAAGTTTATATAACAATAAGAAAAATGTTTCTTTAGAGGCCCGAATATATACTTCCAAAGAGCTACTTGAATGTAACATGAGTTTGTTTTTAAGAAGAATCTTGTCTGTATTTTGATCTCCTGTATAATAATTAACATACTATTTATGTTTTCCAACAATGCAGAGTAATCATGAGACACTTGCTTAACAAAATACAAACAAACCACAAAACCCTTAGTTATAAATAGGGAAAGAAAAATAGGCAACAATGTGAATTGTAACTTTGCATTTAACTTTCAAAGAAAATGTGAATACTATTTGGTCTCCTGGACTCTTATATTAACTGCTGAGAAGTTGTCTTTCTGCTTTTTACTTCAACTAAAGCCTACAGATGAATTGTGTAAGTAGCTCATTCAAAAAAGCCAAATGTTCTTAGTTCTCACCATCTATTCTGGAGACTCAAGAGTAGAAAAAAGGTATTCAAATTTTTTTGCCTAAAGTAGAAAGTTAACTTAAAAAAAAAAAAAAAAAACACCCTGCAACTATTTTACTATCCAATTCAAAACTAATTTTTTCCATGAAAATGGCATTTCAAGTAGGTTCATGTGTCTCAAATAAGCAATACAATGAGAACTAAATTGAAGACATACTGTCATATTGTTAAATACTTAACAATTTTTGAATGGTACTTACTGTAGACTATTAATCTAAGAGTGAAGAAAGTTTGGTACCATTTCCTTAATGCCATAGATAGGAATTAAATACTTGTTGACAACAGGGATCTTTAAAAAAAAAAAAAAATCCCCCCACATTTCTAAAATCTCCTAGCTAAACTTTCTATTCTGCTTCAATGAAATTCCCTTTACAAAAAACTGAAACTAGCTTAAACGTTGCCCCCATCAGAATCGTGGCCCCCATCAGAATCGTGGCATGTAATTCAGTTTGTCTGGACTGCAGTTAAGGAGCTAGTTTCCTTTCTTGGCTGTTCAAAAGTCATTCAAATTAAGGTAACCGGCAAAAGGGAATAAGTGGCAGAAAATTATACTCTTTTTACATTGGATTACCATTTTAGTGACTACATTCAAGAACATACCACCCTAAGGTAGAAAAAAAATGACAACTGACACATGGCTGTAAAGAAATCCCGATTTTTCAGCTACTGGGGAATGGTTTGAAACAATGTTTCACTTGAGGTCGCTGGTAAGATTTAAACATTTCTTTTTAGTGTTTATTATTCAATTACATATTTTCCACTAAACCCAACATCTAAAGATGTTAAAAATCTCACAATCCACTTAACAAAGCAGTTGATATCATAAAAATTGGTTGATTTATTAGAGGTTAGTTTACCCAGTTTACTTCATATAAATGTATTCACCATCACAGTCTGGTTTTGTTTGTAATCTCTGAGAAGGGCTATTATGGCAGGCACCGCACTTAAGTGTTCCAGGAAAGTTGTTTTGTTTTTAATCTTCCTTGGAGTGTGATACCCATCTCTAAATAGCTCTTACCAATCTGGTCCTAATTCTGTCTTTTGATCGACTATTTTTAGTCTTTTGATAAACTTTACCTTTCTTCCACCACATTTTAAAGTCAGCTACTAAATCGCTAGAATGCACCAGGTTAAGCAACCCTATTTACCTGAAGTATTGTCTAATTCGCATTTGTGTTCAATGATATTTAGGACACAGTGCTCAGTATTTGCTGATTTTTCCCCCCAGCATCCTGTGAATAGGATCTGGGTGTATGGTTTGCACATACCTCCTTAGGTCCAACAGGGGCTGCATTGGGGAGGATTTCTTTTTAAGATGTGAAATCCTGAGTTGCTATTCCTTTTCTGGCACGGGCCAGAGGCCTTATATATACAATGTTAATATATATGCTTATTTTTCTTCATTTAAGTTTTATTTCTAAGCTTCGACCCAGGAGACCAGCACTGGACTGCTTTCTGGCTCTCTTTCCGGCAATCGCACTGCTCCCGGGGTCGTGGTGGGAGGAGGTGACCTCGAATGACCTCAGGGCAGGTCAGTCCTGGGGGAAATGGAGGTGACTTCTAACTCGGTTCCCAAACGAAACCCACGTGTTCCGTGCAGGTCGGATGTTCTCCCACTCAGGCTGACGATCCAGCTAAGAGAATGAGGACTCAATCGCCCAGAGCGGCGAACAAGGCAGGAGAGGAACCAGCCGGGCCCGCTACACGCTGCACCTGCTCTGTAAAATCCCGGTCTCCCGCCACGGGACGTGGGCATCCCCCGCGCAAAGCGGCGGCGCGCCACGGACGCCTCCCGGGCGACTGCGCAGGCGCACGCACGGTCACGTGCCGCTCGCTAGCGGCTCGCCCCGCCCCTTGCCCCAAGGTTTTTTATTTATTTATTTATTTATTGCACCTCCCCCTCTGCGCGGGGCGTGCAAAGATGGGAACTAGAGAGTGTGGGGTTACCTGTGAGCCGGGCGAACCCCGTAATGCTCTCCGGGACTGGGAGCTGCTTAAGATAGGCGGGGAGCTGTACCTTCACGATGCGGGCCACGCTCTCCAGTACCATCCTGGGGCCGGCGGCGGCAGATCCACTCTTCCCCCACTCAGCGGCTCTTCGAATGGGCTACTGCGCCTGCGCCAGCGCGGAAGCCGCCGCCGGCGGGCGCTCCGGACCCGGGCCCGGCGCGGGAGGGGCTGGGAGACCTGGGCGGAGAGGTGACCTGCCGCGCGCCGATTGGCTGCGGCGCGACTGACGTGTGTGCGCGGCGACTGCGAGTCGCGGCGGGCCCGAGGATTGCCGGCCTTCCTTGGAATCGCTGCTTGGAAACGGGTTCAGAGGTCCGGGAGGTCGGCGGGAAGCCGGGTCACGTCTGCCCACGGATGGCGGAGGTCGGCAGCAAGCGGGCTTGCGCCTCGCCAGGGCTCTCTGGTAAAGAGCCTTCTGGAAGTTAACCTTTTCGTTTCTCCTGGCCCTGCTCCTGCCAGCCAGCGTGCCCACACTCGAGTGCCCCGGTCCCCGGATGTGTCTGACGTGAGACACCCCCTCACCCCGCGGTGCCTAGCCTTACCCAACGAGTTACGTACCTCGGCTTCAGGGCGGCTTGCGACCCTGCTCTGCTGTCACCAGCAAGACCTGTCATAGTAACTCCTTAGAGGTGTCAGTGCCTTCTGCGGGCCAGTTCTTTCTTGCGTTAACTAACCCCTTCGCAAACGTGGTAAAAATATTATACCTTGCAAGGGCCTTTGCTAAAATCAAAAATGACCATGAACGTTCTTAAGTTCACCTTGGGCGGGGGGGGGGGGGTAAGAGAGGGGGAGTGGGGGCCGTGCAGGTCCTGGGCCTTGAATTCAGGGCCTGGGCGCCCCGTCCCTGAGCGTTGTGGTCAGGGCCAGCTTTCTACCACCGGAGCCCCAGCTACATTTCCGGCCTCTTTTTTTAGAGGGAGGGGTTAATTGGAGATCAAGTCTCTTAGACGTTCCTGACTGGGCTGGTTTAAACCACTATCCTCGTGTCAGCGAGGATTGCAGGCCTGAGCCAGTCTCCTGGAATTATTATTATTATTTTTTGGGTCCGGTCGTGGGGCCTGAACTCTGGGCCTGGGCACTGTCCCTCAGCTCTTCAGCTCAAGGCTAGCACGCTACCACTTGAGCCACAGCACCACTTCCGGCTTTTTTCTTTTTGCTTATGTGGTGCTGAGGAATCGAACCCAGGGCCTTGAGCATGCAAGGCAAGCGCTCTACCACTGAGCCACCTTCCCAGCCCCTCCTGGAATTATTTTTGTGTCTTAAAATTCTCTTTCTCTCCTCTCCTTTTCTGTTTCCTCTCTTCCTCTTTCCTCTTGTGGCCTATTTTCCTAGCTACTCAGGAGGCTGAGATCTGGGGTCAAGGTTTTAAAGCCAGCCTAGACAAAGTTATTAAGACTTCGTCTCATATTACCGACCAAGAACCCAGGCTGGAGTTAAATGACAGATCACCAACCTTGAGGAAGAAAGACCAGCCAGTGTGAGGTCCTTAGTTCAAGCCCTTGGTACTGTCACAAGAACAAAAAAAAAATCTAGGATGAAAAGAGCTTCAGTTTTTCAATACTTTTTTCCATATTTGGCTAAAGTCACACTATCCATGGTAATTCACTTGTGTGGTCTGAGTACTATGTCTTAGCAGTTCTCCATTGATATAGTACCAAAGCACAGTGCATCAATATTATTCAGTATTTCGTTGCGTGTGTAATTAATTGTAATACTTTTTTTTGTCTTTCTTTGGTATTTTAAAGGAAAAGAGCTTTTTTAAAAAAATTAAATTTCATTTTCTAGTCATCTCTCACTAAAAAATGGAATCTAGATCATTTTTTTCTATCATTTTAAGCTGTCCACAACTGTTAAATTACAATGAAAGCTAATTCCAAGATGTTAAGCTACATGAACTGGAACAATATTGTAGATACACAAAGTAATGATTTAAAAGATTAGTGTTTAATATTTCTGTTTATGACCTTGCTCCTGTTATTTAGAGAAAAAGGAACCTGGAATGTTTTTGTTCTGAAAATAATAGGACTCAAACATCTTTGCCTCTGAACTGCTCAGTTAATTGTTAATTTGGAAAGAGGGGACATAGTAGAAGAGAAGCTTGGAAAAAGCTATCAAATATTTGTTCCTTTTCTTAATTACAGACTTTATCATCTTGATAGAGCAAAACATTGCTATGTTAAATCAAGTTAAAATCACCAAGCAGTTCTTTAAATATTTTTTAAAAGATACCTCAGTTTAGAGAAACAGGAAAATGCTAAGTGCCAAGTATATCATTGGATGTAACAACCACCAGTATCAATATATAAACTGTCTAAAGTCTTAGAGGTGGTGTGTGCCTTTAATAACCTTACCACCACAATTCTGCTTTGCTTAGCATTGTTTTTGGACTTCATATAGAAGTTATTCACTATGTAGTGTTGTAACTGGCTTCTCCTTAGCAGTATTTATAGATAATTGATTTGGTATTTTCAGTTAGAAGAATTATAGACAGCCAGACTCTGGTGGCTCACACCTGTAATCTTAGCTACACTGGAGGAGATCTAAGGATCACAATTCAAGAATCCAGCATGGCCAGGAAAGTCAATGAGACTTTAATTGCCAGCTTCACCAAGAAGTTGAAGTGGAGCTGTAGCTCAAGTGGTAGATCGGTATCCTTGAGCTAAAAAGCTCAGGGATAGCACCCAGTCCCTAAGTTCAAGCCCCAGAACCAGCATACATTTCAGGAGCTTTTTCTCCTTTCCACCTTTGGCCTAGAAAAATGAATAGTAAGTTGTATAAGTTTATAGAGAAGACAGAAACAGGATTCATGTAATGCATTGCATGCAAAGGTGAGTGTACTGAACTTCTCATTTGGAATTCTGGAAGTTACAGGATGATAGATGAACACTTTAAGATTCTTAAAAATAACAATAAAAACACATATACTTGTAGTTCAAAATCCTGTACCAAATTTGAGACTTGAATAAAGTTGTTTGCAAACCTAAAATGTCTCAACCAATGTACATTCTAACCATTCTCCAGAAGTTAGTGGAGGATATGTACCAACTAAATGAGAAATAAGAAAAAGTACACGTGATTAAGGATATACGAAGCATAAAATAAGAGAAAGGGATAGGGAATCTGAACAGCGGATGGAATTAATGAAGTATGTAATGTATTTAATTTTTATTTGGGGGGGGGTTGTTTTACACAGGTCCTGGATTTGAATGCCAGGCCTGGGGTCTTTCCTAAGATTTTTGTGCTCAAGGCTATTACTCAGCCATTTGAGTCACAGCTTCACTTTCAGCTTTTTGGTGGTTAATTGCAGGTAAGAGTCCCACTGACTTTCCTGCCTGGGTTGGTTTCCAATTGCTAACTTCAGATCTCAGCCTACTGAGTAGCTGGGATTACAAGTGTGAGCCACCAGTGCCTGGCTGAATATGTTTTAACGTACTGAAAGACAACCTACTGCAGGGTTAATAGATTGAGGTCAGAATAACAATAATTATTAAATGAGAAACTATGCAATTGAAAAACATTTCATCTTTTTTTTTGGGGGGGGGTCAGTCATGGGGCTTGAACTCAGGGCCTAGGTACTGTCCCTAAGCTTTTCCCTCAAGATTAGCTTTCTACTACTTTGAGTCACAGCACCATTTCAGGTTTTCTGGTGGTTAATTGGTTGTCTCATGGACTTTCCTGCCCATGCTGGCTTTGAACTACAGTCCTCAAATCTCAGCCTCCTGAGTAACTAGGATTACAGGTGTGAGTCTGTGGCACCTAGCTGAATTTTTTTTCTTCTTCTTCTTTTTTTGTCGGTCATGGAGCTTGCACTGTAGTAGGCCTGGGCGCCGTCCCTCAGCTCTTCAGCTCAAGGCAAGCCATCTACCACTTGAGCCACAGCGCCACTTCTGGCTTTTTCTGCTTATCTGGTGCTGATGGATCAAACCCAGGGCCTCATGCATGCAAGGCAAGCACTCTATTCCTGAGCTACCTTCCCAGCCCTGGCTCAATTTTTTATTTAAACATTTTTATAGGATAAATGTTTCAAAGAATGTTACGATTCTGGCCCTTCTTTTTCTTATTGTACTTCCCTTTTATTTTTGAGGAACTACATTTGAACTGCCTTGGTTTACACAAAGCTTTAACAGGAAGTGCAGCAAGCTTGAAATAAGGGGAAAATTTTGAAAAACAGAACTAGTTAATAATAAGTGATAAAACTATTTTAAAGTGATTTTCCATAAAGCTTGGGGTGCTATAAAAGTAAGCAATACCTAGAACTCCCTATACAGAATTCTTAAGAGATCCATGAAAGAATGAAGTTTGGAAAATCCTTTCTTCTGTGAGCAAATGTTGACATACCACTTTCACAATCACTGACTAGAAAGATTGTGAACTAGTAGGCAGGGTGTGGTGGCACATGCCTGTAGTCCCTGCACTTGTGAGGCTGAGGCAGAAAGATATCCAGTTCCAAATCAGAATGGGCTACATACAAAGACCCTATCAAACAAAAAGTTTGATGTATACTGTAATCTACATATGTAATCAGTAATTATTAAATAATAATCAAAATAGCAACTCTTATTTTCCTTAAGTTTATAGAATTAGCTTTCTCCAAACACAGATGAACTCAAACATGAGTTGAGGGGAGTAGCACATGCCTATAAGCCTAGCATTCAAGGGCTGAGGAAAGAAGATCTTAAGCTTGAGGCTAGACTTGCTTACTTGATGAAGTCTTGTCTCAAAAAGAGGCTCACTAATGCTTTGTGATATCACTGCTGTGCATAGAATAAATTTTAGAATAATGTTGCCTTGGTTAACTTTTTGCTTATCTTTTTTAAGCCTATCCTTATGATTCTAGTGAGTATATTAAAAGGGAAAAACTTTAAAACTAAAGATACAACATAGAGAATCAGAACTCCCTACAACTTTGAAGGAATCTCATCTGTAATTATTCAGTGGATATAGTAAGTTTGTAGCACTATTTACATGGTAGTTCTTAGGTTCTATGGTTAGAACCTTGGCAGGGAAGGAATGGGATTCTAAGACATTGTATAGCAGTAACTTTAGCAGAAAAGGGTGAAACAATTAAAGGTGGAGTGGTGACCTATAAAATGAAGCATAAAGCCGATAATACAAAACGATAATCAACGTGATGCCATAT